ATAGGTTCCAATTCCGAATGAGTCAACCTCATGACCCTACACAGAAAATAGACTAATCTAATTAAGACATTTGAGTCCAAGAAAATGTATTTCCTCCTGCAGCAATAAATCTCTAAAGACAAACAACTTGAAGGTTATATATCAAGACTAAACAAAACCAGCATTCAAATGCCTATGTACAGTTCTGAAGCCATAGCGAATATACATTATAAAAGCCCCATAACTTCAGAATCATTACCTGTTTGTTTAAAGCATCCAAAGTTTCCTCGTTGAGATCATTACTAGCTGTAATATTCGTCTTTCCAAACCCAGGTACTCCAAATTCTTTTTCAATGGTATGGAAAATCTTCCGAGCCTCGCAAGACAAATATGCTAGGTCACCTGAATCCAACCTAATGCCGGCTGCTTTGTACCTGGACATAGCATCATCTAACTCATTAATGAAAGCTACAAATGCAACTAGTTGATTGTCTAAAAATATCAAATCAATTACGTCAAGAGTCTTCAAGTGCACAGATTAGCATGATGTCACAACAGTAACTAAAAAAATTGGAAATACAAGGTTAATGTAATAGTGCGAGGCAGCTTTCTGGAAGAACTGTGGTTATTCTATCACTTCTAAAAGGGCAAATTTACCCAATGATGCAACCAAAACAACCCCAAGAAATAAGCTGCATGATTAAGAGATAGCGGGACAGATTTAACATGCCTAAGATCTTAATGTTTAAGCAATTAATATTGGCTTTAACCTCTTAAAAAGAAATAAACTACCACATGGGCTGCTAGGTAGGCGTTACATTGCAACTTGTAGTGATCTGTATTTACAACCAATGCACAATACTAAAATCATCAAGTAGATATCATTACTCTATGGAATGGTTATACAAATGGCATCACAATATTAAAATTTGGAAGAAAACATTCAGCATTCATATTCACATTAAGAGAGCATAATTCATCACTGTTGATAACCGACATACCCTAAATCATTGAGTGCTAAAGCAACAGCACAATAGTTAGGGATTCCACTCCTCATAACCTGGTAAGGAATGAAAGGCATACTGTTAAAGATTCACTTTTACTGGGACAATAAAAGTATAAGTGGTCCACAACCACATCATTAAACAGTGTTCAAAAACCACACCATTAAACATTATGAAGTAAGCTGCATAATGTTTACTTACATCATATGTGTCTACAAGAGCTAGAAAGTTATCAGGGAATGCCAATGCATATGACGTGAAGGCTGCTAGCTCACTTTGATTGGTCTCACCAAAAGTGCCATTTAATGAATTCGACCACTGCAAAGCACAGACGAGTAAGTGTTGTCAAGATTTGATTGTACTCATCTTAGATCCTAGTAAATATGTAAAACAACTAACAATAGGATCGCAGATCGCATACACACATACATATATGATAAAACTGAAAGGGTTTAGTAGTCCAACTAAAATTGAATGTCTATGAACATATACGCCATTTAAATGGCACAAATTTATTTAACTTAATCAGTAAAAGAAATTAGAACCCAAGAAGAAATGAGAGAACACGCAATTGAGAAACATTAAAAAAGCATACAGATTTTATCTAAAGAGAAAAATCAAACACCTGAATCTTGCTTAACCAAGTCTGCGCCAGGCTAACAAAATCCTCACAAGTGCTCTGGCTATCACTGCTACGAAGTGATTTATCTATAATCTCGTCAGGGCTCTGCAAATCATTGTATAAATGAGACAGAGAATAGCTTCACATATAAAGGCACAAAAATCATGATGAAGAAAATATAATGCTCATAACGTCTAATATTTCACTGTCATAGAACAAGGACTTGACACTAAACTCAATCTACTAAGGTTTCATAAGATATCACATTATTAATTTCCCTGATCAGATGGAATTCAATTACATTAAGGCCATGAAATCTATCTCAGATTTCAATGAATAAAAGATATAATTTTTAATGCTCATGTTTCAAATGAAAACGTCGTGCTGAAAAAAGGAAGAGAACTGTTTCCTAAAAGATGAAAAACCTTATAGTATAAGGATACCAGTATTTTAATTGGTAAAATAGACTTACCAGTTACTCCCCTAGCTCTGATTATATAACTGTAGATATGCACAAAATTGATAATCCTAATTTAAAGCCTATAAGGGGTTATGCAGAATAGATTCCAAGTCTGTGGTAGTGGGTGGATTAACCACCAGGGCACCCCCACACTGACAATATAAAGAATAGATCACAAATCTATGAATTTGAAGTTGCTCCTTCTAACTCCCCAATAAGGTTGCAAGAGTTGCGTACCATAAATGAGCTGACAAAAGCATGAGAATGTGTTCCACGAAGTGGTATCCCAAATAACTTCCCAGCTGCAACATTACTGTCAAAACATAATATAGAAATAAAGATAAGTTGTTCCAGATGTTTACTCAGAACAACAAAAGGGCTGCTGACGTATGTGACAAGTGTTAAAAAATGAAGGGTCTCAACTCAAGGGAGATTATACATATTTTTCCTATTTCATCTACCATCGGTCATGAACAAGTTTCAAGTCAATTAAAATTTTTCCAGTCGTCCAATTGTGTGAATATGATTATATATTGTATACAGGAAAGTAAAATTTTTATGAAAAAGTACAAAATTATCCAAAAGAATTGTGAACAAATGAAAATCACAATGCAAATATGCCGAGCTTTCAATAGACATTACCTTGTTGCATGAAATCCTCCCATGTAGCAGTACTTTGATGCCCCTATTCCCCCATCAGGTCCCTATATATCAAAATAAAGACATATTTGTTAAGAAGATAATCCCAGTTTAGAAATTCAGAACAAAGAATTTAAAATGTGAAAAAGTTGAGCTTGTCACAGCCCAAGCTTGTGTCGGATACCTGAGCCCGTCGAAGACCAAACTCAAGTAGCATTTTAGATTCTCCAGCAACAAAACGATGCCTTGCAGCATTAGTAGAAACTAATGATGCATAATTAATAAGATTCAAGAATGGAGTTTCCAGCAACTGAACCACCTGAAACAATAAAGCAAATATAAATTAGAAAACACGCTAAAAACAAGTAGATTGACGACAATAACCAAGCAAAAAAATTTATAAAGAACAAAAAACACTAGTATAATGGTTCTCACAGCAACTGGCCCTTCAACTCTTAGCAAGGGAACCTTTGGAAAAACAACTGAACCCTCTGTAATGGCATAGACTTCAACTCCTGAACAGTCAACTCCTCTAAGATAATCATAGAATCCATCCTACAGTTCATCAATACAACTCAATTATTCAACTATTAAACTATTCGACACACATGCAAAATTACAATTTTAAGCTAAAACATGCACTAAAATTATAATGCAAATTACAATGAAAGTTTAAGAATTGGTTTACCTCACATGAAGGAGATAAAGATTCACGAACGAAATCGATTTCGTCTTCACTCAATTTGAAATTAGCAATGAATCTGATGCATTCTTCTAAACCAGCAAAGATTGTGTATTCACCACCGAAGGGGTTCTTACGGAAATATAAATCGAACCTGAAACAAATTGATATGTCACATACTTAAATTACTATTATCATTCTAAAGAATGCAAAGCTCTGTTGGTTGCTGAGAAAGTTGAGAACTTTCTCGGGAACCAAAAGGGGCAGCGTAAGTGGGTAAGTAGAGAGAGAGATAAGACTGACACGGCTCGTTCGTTATGTTTGCCGGCTTTCCAGTAGGCGTAGGCCATGGTGAACTGGTAGAGATCCGTAAGCAGAGGCGTAACCATTGGATTGGTGGGGCCAGCCAGGACCCGACCCGAATGCTCCCCAATCGGACCGTTCGATTTCGCCGCCATATTTGATACTCTCAATTGGTTTTCGTTCTTCTTCTTCTTCTCCGCTTAGCTATATAGGCAAGTAAATTATGTGTATGTACATAGGGGTGTGTATATATATATCTATATATATATATATATAGGAGTGTGTGTGTGTGTGTGTGATTGTAAATTCAATTGAAATTAAGCCAACGTGTGCCTCACGATGACTGAAATGAGAAAGACCGTTCAAACCAAAGAAGAAGAAGAGGAAGAGGGATTGCCTTCATTTCATCGAAACGCAGGTGGCGAGAGAGATAGAGAGAGAGGGCATCTAATTCTAAATTCTAATGTTAATGCATTGGAGACCCACTGTACCTTGACGTGTCGCTATTGTCTTATGCAGGCCCCCTTCTAATGCGAACCATATGTATTTGTTCATATATGTCCTGTCAAAAATCATCCCCCTTTTTTATTCATTAATGCTGAAAAATTGAGCAATGCCCCTACAAAGGCGAGTAGGGGCGGATATATTGGATATTTGGCCCCTACAATAAAGGAGCATGTGGGATATTATCGCTCCAACATATCTGCCCTCTAAAATGAAGGAGTGGTATGGGATGTTATCGCTTCTCTTAATATGAAATGTTTTAAAAAAAAGAAAAAGAAAAGAAAAAGACTACTGGTGAGGAGTATTTATCTCCTACATTCATGACAAATTAATGTATATCATCCTCCTTCCTTTCCTTTTCTCTAGAATCTTGATAAGAAACATAAATACATTTGCTGGTTTCATTGAATCTGCTCCAAAATCACAAAGTCGAGATGTTAAATTCAGAAGCTCCTTGTCCTCAGAAAGAAAAACAATGAATATGGTAAAAGGCAAAGTAAAAAACCGTCTGATTTTGACTATGGTTCCTGGAATTTCTCCTCGTTTTTTCTTTTTTTCTTTCTTTGACTATGGCATAAATTATTCTCGTATGACTGTTTTGGTTCTGTGATTCAAACTTCCAATTTTTGACTTCCTTGACCCCACAGTCAGTCGCATGTAGAGAGAGAATTTCTATTGGTGGAAATTCACTTTTCTTGTTCAACCACAAAACCTTAAATAACATCCCATTTGACTGATAAAACTTTCCCAGAAAAGAAAACTTGAAGTACGGAAAACGTTATTCCAATCCAAGCTCAACCTTGAAAATTTCAGTCATCAATACATAGGTCCTTTGTATTTATGAAATTTCACAATAATAAAATATTACACAATCTTGAGGTAGCTTTGACAAAACTTGATGTCATAATTTATAAACAAGACGTTCATATAATTCATATATGAGGAGGAGATAATTTCCAAATAAAAAAGAACCACAAAATAAAGGGAAAGATAAGAGTTTACGTACATGTCTCATCCCTACCTTGTACTACTTCTACCAATTAAGTAACAAGCCTTGCCAAAGCATTGAAGAGAAAACTCATCAATTGCAGGTTAACTTTGTGGCATGCCTGTGATTCGAGCACGCAATTGAGGCTCTAATCAATTTGGAGAATTACAAAAGCTGTTACAAGTTGTGGCTACACCAAATCCAAAATGTTAAGAGTAGCCAAGCTTAACATGCATCATATGTGTGCCTTCTTTCAGTCTTGATGTTATCATTTGCAACCCTTCTTCTTCCTGTGAGCATACTAGTAAAATGTAAAAGTACGGCGCCTGCTTTACTATGTGAAGAAAGGATAAACATCTTATTCATCAGGTATGCTTACCTATCAATATGAAAATTTTGTTTCATAGCCTTTAAAAGTAGACCTTCCTGCCGGTTTCTTCCTGTGATACATGCTCCCAGAGAACTACTGCCTTTCAGATCAGATACTTGTGTGTTAAAGGAAAGTGAAACTCTAGCTGTCGCTCCCAATTCAAATTCTTTCAACCAAAAAAAACATACATGTTAGACCAAAACTAGAACCCTAAATACATGTTGTTAGAGTTATTGGGATGGGAACTGTCGGATCAGAGACCCACCAAAAGGATTCGTCTCCGAATGATTTACATTAATTTGTTGATGCTGCAACATGTCCTCCCTACAGATTTCCTTTATATGGGAGTAATGTAAAAAGTTTAGTATCATTTCCTTAACTCTGTATGCATTATTAACAGGGCCATAATTTTACCTCGGATGAGTTTGGCAGTTGAAAGGGTCCCAAGTGAGCCTGCATTGACGATTCCAACCCAAACGAGGTTTCTGAATTGACTACATTTGACATGTCTGGTACATATGACTGGTTTGCATTGGTGCATTGGTTGGAGAAATGGAACAAATTTTGTGTTGGAGATTCCTGGTTCATAAGTGGTGTGCCTGTCATGTCCAAATGCAGAGGCCTATTTTCTTCACCAAGGTCCATTCTCATCTGGGAGAGTTGGACAGGTTGCAGCGCTCCAGGTAGGCACATAGGATGCAGACTCATGCCATTTCTCATTGATAACATCTGAAATGTGAATCACATCTAAATCAATCAAAACCAAACTCTCAATTTTAATTGATGCTACAATAACTAGTTCAGCTGGCATTTCTCTATTTGTTCTATGCAGAAATTCCCATACTGTTCATAGGCAAGGTGAAAAGGAATTTTTTAAGAAAAAGAGAGATTCTTCAAGCTGATGTAAACAGTTAATGGTGCAAAAACATCACATATTTCATACAGCATTAGGGCTCCCTTGTTGGACTCAAGTAGCAAAAACTAATCACAAAGGATTAATACATCTAAAATTTCATCCGAGCAGAGACTGTCATGTGAGACTGCATCAAGAAACTTTTTGAAGGGCGGAGCAGCAAGAAACTTTGCCACAATGTCTCTCTTTGCTCTAATATTGGATCCTAGTGCATTCACATGCTCCAACCATGCAAATCACATTGGAGTTGTTTTCCTATTTCACTCTCTCGATTCAATTTTATGATACAACTAGCAACAAAGGTCTTAGAGGAGATCTTGGGATATGACCACAGTGAAATTTAATCAAAATTTTACCAGGAAGAGTATTTTGAACCTTCACTGTACACTAAAATGCAAAGAAGAAAGCTGCATACCTGCACTTGGAGCTGAAGCTGCTTGAGGTACTCAATGGCTTCATCAAGCATTGAAGCCTTATCCGTCTGCCACATTACAAAAACGACGATTCGTTCTCTCAAAAATCAAAATGACTCAAACAAACAAAATCAAAATCAAGCATCTTGGTATGTTTAATGTACCTTATTAGAATTTGGGATAAGATTTTGCAATGCCTTCATTTTCTCATTAATCCTACTCCTCCTCCTCTGCCCAACAAACCCAACACATCAAAACCCGAAAAACAACGTGGTTTCCCCGTAAAAAACAAGAAGTAAACCCATGTTGAAAATTTCAAATCCCGTAATAATTTTGGAAAGAGGTTCTCAAACTACAAAAGCCAACCTTTTCAGACATATTATGAACTTCTGCAGCTCTGCTTCTCTTTGAAGAACTTCGACCACACCCTGGCTTCCCTGCCGCCTCTTCCACCAATGCTTCAAGACCCTCCTAAATTTATAATTCCTCAACATATTAAACTTAAAAAAAAATTCATATTACCAGAAAATAGAAAAAGAAAAACTTGAACTTTTATTCTGTGTTTCTAATTACATCTTATTATTTCAGTCAAATACTGTCTTTCATTTGATAAAAAACTTAAACTAAACAAGCAAATGCATTCTGCTCCATAAACTTTGAAAAAGGTTTCATGATAC